GATGAGATCTGATAAAAACATACTCCAAAATTTTATAAAAAAAATTAATTAAGAAAAACTAGATATAAAATTATACTTCCGAGCGAAAATATAATATTTTTTCTTCTTCAGTTAATCCTTAGAGCGAATTTAAGCTGTCTTTCTAAAGAATTAACCTGAATTAATTTTAATTCTTGACATATATTCAAATTAATTTCCACAGAATTATTTTTAGATTTCTCTCTCAATCTTTTGTTTGAAATATAAAGCAGTTTAAATTTCGATTTATTGCGATTTCTCTTATGTAATTATCAGTAAGAACGTATCCCTTTCTTTATATAGCGCACGTGAGAAAAGAGTGAAAAGGGCGGTTGAAAGAAATTTGGAAATTTGAAATTCAAAGTACGAATCGTTCTAACAGCGCACTTACGAGCTAGAGCGAGCTAAAAATAAAGAAATTAAGTTACGCGTCTCTCTTCGTCGCGCCCCTTTGATCTCTAACACGCCGGAATTCGATTTTTCTGCCAGCCCGTTTCAGGCTGATCCGACAAAGTAAAGCGTAAATTTCACGTTTTTCTTGCCAATTCGATTCTCGCCGTAGTTGATCCCAGACCCTTAGAATCTTTCCTCTTCCTTCCTGCATCACACGAATGAAAAATCGCACGTGAAAGGTCGTTTGATTAGAACGCCGGCGATGCTCGTCTAATACTTTCCTTTTATTCCTTGTAATACTTATCTCAAACGTTGCACCCTCGGGATTCCCGTGATACAAGAGAGATGTGCGAGGTGCTTCGTGAAAATCCAGAATACTTTCCGGTGCGCTCGTGAAAAAAAAGTTTGACACGGAGTATGAAATGCGAGGGCGAATAATCCGCTTCCAATCTGATTGGTATTGTGCTCTCTGAAGTCAATATGGATCACTCTCTCGCGCTGGAGAGCTCTCGTCATTCATGCCTGATCCGTTCGTACTTCGTATCCGTACTTTATCGTCGACCGAGAGAATCGCGGGGATAAAATTTCATCGCCAGAGAGAGAAGCGGTACATGCGATCGTGAGCCATAAACAAATTTCGCCGCCATTATTTCAGATATGCGATTGCAAAATAATTGCGCTCTCTCTTTTTTTTATCTCTTTAAAAAAAAATACACCTATTTATAAAATATTCTCGATGTAAAAGTGCAAAAAAATGCAAATGAATTGCAGAAAAAATATGCTAAACGTGAGAATAAAAATAAATCCCATTAGCTTTAGCTGTGTGCGTTGCTATAACATTTTTATGATCGTACGGCGATATCGCGACGCGCCAATAAACATACAGAGATGCATTCGAAAAGTGGCACAATAATTTATCGACGTTCGCGCATCAGAGTCTATAAAAGCTGCAGCGCATATCCCGTGACTAACGGCTAGAAAGATATTTTTCTCATTGTTGCAAAATATCTCACGGTGTCACGAGTGCCCCTCTTTCTATCGTAAAGAGCAGGTTGTTCTCCTCGTCTATCCTTAATACGCGCACGCGCGCGACACGAGGGGCTTTTGATAAGATATTTATCAGCGCATTTTGTGGACATAGCACGGGAATTCCGAGCGCGCGGAGATACGCAAGTTATTCTGCGTCCCGATATGCGCCATCTAATACATGCACCATATATACATATATATGTATACTTTCTATCTCTTTCTCCATCTTTCTCTTTCTCGCACGCTAACGGACAAGCGGACGAAGATAGCGGAAATACGCCTCCGGTACGTGACGACGCCTCTTTTGACAGACACCTTCTGTGTACGTCTCTTCCTCTATCCATTCTCTACCCTCTCTCTTTCCAGACTAACGTAACTGGAACAAAAGTTTCGACACACACTGTCAACTGCCGCCATGGCAAAGATAATGTGAAAGCCTCTCTGCAGCTTTGAGTCTTCCTTTAAAGACAAAACAAAAGAGAGAAGGAGAGATAGAGAGAAAGAGAGAAAGCGGGTGCAAGGATGGTATCGTCGGGAGCTGAATACTAAGGGGCCCACCTAATAATTGCAACTCGATGTAGGCGAGGGAAATTGAAAATATGCATATAGTCTGAAATTGAGAGAATGTTATAGCGATACTTAAATAAGGTAATGCGAAACGACGCGTCAGATGATCTTGGGCAAAATTGGCCAAAGTCGTTCTCTCTCAATTTCTAATTAAATGTATCGTTTGCCTTTCGCGATTGATATTTTATTCAATTCTTATCACTCGTCTCTCTTCGAGAAAATAAATGAAAAATATCCTACGTAGAATACACGTGGATTTCATTACGTCTATTTCCGCGATTCACTCGTGCCCGCCGTGAAGGAAAGAAGAATGTATCTCGAAGGATATAATTGCGAGGAAAAAGAAAAGCGATTCGCGAAGAACCTTACTCTCGGAATGAAGATATAGATTAAACGTCGAGAAACATCCCGAGGTATCTCTCTCAGTTAAGAGAAAATACAGTCGGTGACCTGATCTCTCTCTCTCTCTCTCTCTCTAAACGGCCAAGTACATCGCGTTCTCCGGCGCGTATTCATCCCCCTTCTGTAAACGGCGCGTCTATTTTCACCAAGCGTGAGTTATTAACGGATCCGCATCTTAGGCCGCGACGTGCATACCCCCGTGAGTCGCACTTGTTGTCTCTTGATGTAATAATAGTATTCTCGATGCGAGAATATATACACTATTTGTCGGAGCATGCAAACTCTCGTCTAATCTCCCGCGACAAAGTCGCCAAACAAAACACAATTCGCGATGTTATTGTAGTGCGATTTAGGCGCACGCTTATTCGGGAAATAATTCAATAGGTTTGCGTCTCAAATTTTTTCCATATAATTTTTTTATCATTATATCATACTCTTAAAAATCGCGCGCCTTGAAGCTCTTTCTCGCTAATTTCGAGCTCGCAATTTGCTAATTATGTAATAGTATTTGGGAGGTTTTTTATACGAAATGCCTATTTAACTGAGAAGGAATGACTCTTAAAGAGACGAGTTAAAAATAACATTTGACAAAATTTTTTTACAACGTCAAGGATTTTGCATCTGACAATGAGAAAGAAAGAAAGAGAAATTAATTGAATTTATATTAAATAATTCGCGGACGTGACGCGAAACTTTAATCGTAATTTGGTTTCGCAAAGTCCTAGCGCCTCGTTTCGCGCTCATCTCAATGCGTGAGTCATAGCTTAGATAGCTGTAACATAGTTAGTCAGTTATAACGCATAAATTATCCGTTCCTTGGCGCGCAGGGTTTACGCAGTTTATAAATACCTGGATTCAACTGTGTGATTTATTACATGCCGCTCGATTGTACGGATGTCTGACTATCAACGCTGTAATTTAGTGAACGCGGTGGATTCCTTCTAGAAATCATCTTTGGCAAAAATTAATCGAAATGTGAATAGAGTCAATCATTTCACCGGACAAGCGTAAGAGATAAAAGTCTGGTTTATTTTAATGTTAATGTAATATTTTAATGTTAATTATGTTTAATTTTTAATGGATTTTTAATAAATTATCACCGGAATATATATATATAGGAATAATATATGAAAAATTGATGCCTCAACATATTAATTTAGTCGCGTATATTTACTTTATTCAAATAGCTAACAAAGTACCTTTTTATTAAATATTAAATGAAAGATGAAAATATATGTATATTTAAAAAAGCAAAAGAATGACGCTGAGAAAAATAATTTTTTTAATATTTCTACCGTTTTCATATTTTATCCGAATCACCGTCAAGTTGCTACAAGCGCATGTGTGTGTGGCATTTATGATCAAAACAAGAGACTCCACATGTACATCTACGCGCACGTGTTTCTACTCGTGTGTGCCCAACCACGTACATACAGTCACGCAAACATACATATACTCAACACACGTACTGGCACGTGCGTTCCACACACACAATTCAAAAAAATTTATCTCTTCGTTTATCTCTCCAGCATTGAAGACGATCGTCCGATTTCGACTTTCATCTCTGCGATACCACGTGACCAACATTTCTGTAGCTCCGAGAGGATCAATCAATTTTCCATCGCAATCTCTTGGCGATCAATTGATCTTTCATCGCATTCCCAACAATCAATAAGATATCGATCACGTGGTTCATATATATATGATCTAGATCAGTGCTTTCCCCTCTCTTTCTTAAAAAAACATTGATTTTTTTTACACAATTGCTGTTATGACACATTCGAACACTCACATTGCGTTCCCTTTGCAAGCCAACGAAAGCCTAACACAAGTTTCTATAATATGATAAATGAATTCGATCGGAGAACACTGATCTAGGTAGTATCAACCGATCGGTACTTGCGCAATCGAATCCCGTATACGAATGAGAATAATGAAGTGTTTAAGGAACTTGCCAATTGATGATTAGCTCTGCGTACGGAACGGCTTAACCACGTCGACGACAACAACGGCGGGGCACTGTTCGATCGACTACAGACTCTCGACAACGTGACAATCGGACGGTCGGTCACGATTTGTCGTTTGGCGGATGGGTCGATTGGATTAGGTCGGTCGGTCGGTCGATCGGTCGGTCGGTCGGTCGGTCGGTTGGTCAGTTGATAAGAGAGAAGAGAGACAGAGAGAAAGAGAAAGAGAGAGAAAGAAGAGAACAGGTAATAGGTTCTTGGACCTGGATAATGGTACGTGGTGCAGCAGGGCCGGGGGCTGACGCGACACTGCTCGCGAGCGCGTATTACGCGCGCGCACCGCGCGCATCCGCCGGCGCGCATATCCGGCCCTCGTCATGTGCGCCCGACACAGGAATATAGCCAATCCCGGAAGAGAGCGGGATAAGGAACAAGCGGGATAAAGCACTCGAAGGGCGCGCGAGCCCCTCGGGGGGCGCTACCCCCTACGAGGTAGGTCGAGTGACCGTGGAATTTCAAATTGGATCGACGTGTAATGAATTTACTCCTTATCACCGTGAAAGAGCGTTAAGTA